GAAAGTGGTTGAATTCAAACAATTTTTATGGCGAACTTTAAAATTTGAGATTTTTATAGCTGCTATCTGACGTTTAGGATCAATTACTTAAATGAATATTTTGTGCTTATGCTGCTTTCACCACAAATGAACATGAAATGAGCTACATACAGAGTTCAGTAAACTCATAAAAAGTTAATAATATTGTAATAAAATACTCGTAGCAACAGTTCAAGCCACATTTGAGTCACCACATTTACTTATGCAGTAGTTGAATGACATTTTGATGCCTAAGAACTTTTGATTGATTGACGTTTGAGTAGGGAATAAATATTCTAATTGATCCCAAAAGGCGGAAGCATATTTATGAAATTTAAAATACGACGCCTATGCACACTTAAGACTTACATGTTTATGTACATATGAAAAAATACTGAGTTACGTTTACGATTATGGTTATAGTTGTGGTTATGAGTATGTCTATGGTAATAGTAATGTAATGGTAATGGCTATGAAAATTGCCTTGGAAGCATACCTTATCGCCCGCTTTCGAGTGGCAGAACTATCTAGTACAACTTCCAGCGTAAAGTTCTTATTGAAAAAGCTCTTCCTGAAAGCGTTTTTACATACGTATGTAAGTATATGTAATCCTTTTATTGTATAAATTATGTAGTTCGCAATTACCGACATCGCTAAATATTTCTCTGGTCTGCTCCTTGTGCAAATTATGAAGAAGACGTTCAATTAGGACACGTGTGTGCTAATTGTAGACAACAGTCAACCTGCTTAACAACCAACGTCTCTAGAAAAACAACGTAAGCACAGTCGCAGCTACATAAGTAACTAGGACACACATTAGGAATTCAACACGCATACGCCATTCGCAATGGGATATTCCCCCCCATACACAAATACACAGCCGCCTACACATTCTAGTTAATCACATACTTATGTACTCTCACTTTTTACATAATCATCATCATTAATCGGCAATAACAACAACGAAAGACATCAGCGCCGACAACATCCGCAGCAGTGTAATCCATATTGTTTAGACTGTTAACGCGCTCAATGTTCTGCTAATCCCGTTACTCATCATTACTATCACTCACTAACGGTATTATTTATGCAGATATGTGTGTGCATTAAAAAGTTGACGGCATATTTTCTTCGCAGGAAACGAATGGCATAAATATTGTTTTTTTTTTTTTTTTTTTTTTTAAGACACACGTGTCCCCTACTTAGTTGCCACGCGCTTCATCACTTTGTTGATAATTTCGCAGTGGGAGATGGGCGGCGAATTGGAAATTTGTTGAAATTGATTTGCTCAAAGTATGACAGCGAATTTGTAGTCCATTATAATGGTCTATTAGCACTCACTTTTTGAATTTATGTGCATGCAAATGCATGTCGCTTCATGCGCTACCAATTTGATTTTGATGACTTAATTTAAAGTACGAAAGTGTAATTTCAAGTTGACAAACAAGCACTGCGACCGCTGCGAATTGTCAACTGTCTGCCCATTACTTAAGTTGTTAAAAGTGTCTGGTCGCCATTTGAGTGAAAGTTCTAAAAATGCAGCCTAGGGTGAAGTTAGATATTTAGTACATTAAAGGCAGATAACTTTTGTCATTTTAGCATCCATTTTGCTTGCGAGGTCAAGAGCACTAGCGCTTGCTAGCTTGCGACAAGCAAAAGGTCAATAGCACTGGGAATAAAAGGCAAATCGTTATATTTCTGCTTTTTGGGGTAACTTCAAAAATGCATAACATTTAAACTCTCCCAAGGAAAATGTGAACCAAATCGATGAACATCGCTTGGAAAATCAAAATTTTTTTTTGTTACATTTCTAATGGAGTGAACATATTTATTATATGTATGTATGTACATATAGCTTCGAATTATATTTTTTGTGCTCAAATTTAACCGTTATATTAAGACTTTTATTTGTTCAATCAAATATTTTAATCTAACGATTTTGCTTTGATCTAAAAATAGAAATATTGATTTTTTAACGGTTATTTTTGGTCCCTGATTTATAAGTCGACTGAATATGTTTTATAAGTCTACTGAATACCTTAGTGATTTAATATTAGGGGTGTTCGATTATTCGGCTATATTCGAAAACCGTTTTCGAGTTATTCGAAAAAATGCCAATTTGAAAAATTGGTTCCCCATTTTCAAATTAATAGAAAAACCAGTGATTTATTTTACATATTTTCTCTACACTTATTGTTAGTTAGAAATCATGGCCGAAATTGCAATATTACTGCTAAAATTAGTTATAGCTTGAATTTTGAAATCGATTCGGCAAAAGTAAAAAAGAAAAATTCGTGAAAAATCTTCATAAGTTAACAAGATTTGATCATGAAAACAACGGACCGTTTGTCGGAAGTTTCGAGCATACGCTGACCAAGATCGACTCTACAGGCCATTCATAGAAATAACCAATCAATACCTTCGTCAACTCTCACGCCTTGAATTCCATCCTCGGATGCCTTTGTGAGGCTTGCGATAATTTGACACAACTCCATTCTGGATATTGTAGCAAGTTAAACCGTTGCGTAAAATTTGACGACACTAACCACCTCATTATATGGCCACTCATATCAGCTTTCAAAAAACCGCCTAAAATATTCCAAAAAAAAAAAAAATGGTTCAAACCGATTAGGAAAAACCGGGTCAACCGCCCTAGTATTTAGCACCCTCAAATACTTACTTAAATACTTCAATTCTATTTACTTGAGCATTTAGAAACACCTAAATCTGTAAAATACTAAATACATACGTATTTTTATGGGTATCTAGTATTCATAGAGGCTATTTATTTCAATGCAAAAGTATTAAAGCATTCCGGTCGCCGGTAATTTTTTATAGTTAAGTTCCAAAAAAGTTTAACGGTCAGAGGTATGTAATTCCGCATTTCATATTTGCATAATCGTGCATAAATCAAAAGTGACCCGACGAAACGAAGTAAGTGGTCAGGTCACCTTTTGCATTTATATTCCTCAAACACACGCTGACCTCTTCGTTAGTTTGTAATGGGGTAATCCGATTTACATACATACGTACATACATATGTATCGATAAAGATCCCATACAAATAGAGGAGTATGCAAATAAATTCATTTGAAATAGCAGACATCTGTACCATATGCCAAAATGAGGTGAATGTGTGGATGCCAAAGTCATTGTCAAGTGACTGCACAAAAAAAGAAAGCAGGAAATATAAAATAAATACAAAAAAGAGCTGCCTGTAGTTGAATGGTGATCCGATAAAAAGGGTCAAGTACGACGGTAAGTATTAAAAATGCATGAGCTGGTAGGCCAAGAAGGCGTAAATGTATGTATGTAAATCTCCTTTATTGTCGTTTTTAAATTATTCTGTGGGTACATTAGGCCGTATCACAAAAAGTATCAAATAGTTATTTTCAATCGATTTTACACGCAATTAATGTGAATGTTTTTAAAGTATACATACAACAATTATTTTCTGGACATCCTTTAAAACGAATTTGCTTCTAAATTTTATTTTTATATTTGATGGCAGATTTTCACAAATAATACACATACTATTATAAGGTATTAAAAAATTACATACTCTTTCTCTATAAATACATATGTATTAGGGAGGTCCTTAAAAAATTCAACAGCGAGTTTATGAATTTATATGAATAAGTTTTAATAATAAATTTTGTAGTTTGTTTGCGATCTAGAAAAAGAAATTTTTTCAAACTCCAAACTTTTTTTGTGTAGTTTTTAAATACATCATATTCCTACCCTGTCGCAAATGCAATCAACCAAAAAGAAGTCTTGTAGCGTCCCCTAAAAATTTGTTTACAATTTTTAAATTTTTGTGAATATCATTATTTTATAAGTAGAACAAATTTTAGATGTTGATATTTTAAGGACCACCCTAATATGTATTTCTAAAATTATAATCCCATCACTTAAAATCCAGATAATATCAAATCGGGGCTCTTATGGTAAATATAATTTAAATAAGCTCCACAACTTTTGGTTTCGAAAATGAATTTGTAGTAAAATCGATTAAAAAGGTCTTCATTTTTGCTCCATGCATCGGGATACAGTCTAACGTGCACAAATTGTGAATTAATTCGTTTCTTTGAATTTTGATAGTGAAATGTAGAAAATTCATTTTTTTCTGATTGGGTTAGAAACAAATTCGCTAGTGTTTTTTTGCCGTTATTTTGGAGTAAAAAAGAGAAACAACTTACAAATTTAAGATCCGGCTTCTTCGGAACCTTTACTGGGCTAACAAAAAAAAGACTCTACAAATACTTCGAGAGAGTACAATACAGCCGTTTTGAATGGATTCTCGATTTTACTAACTAAATCGTTTATGACTAAAATCGCGCTACCCAATATCTCGAATTAAAGGGATCTGCGATAACATGACTGCCAAATATGTAGGCTACCCGAATTGCTCTTTTGTACTCCAGTATGAAGAATTGAATATGTATGGTAAAACTGTAGACTTAATATTACTATTTTTTTTCTCTATCGCATCACATTTTTGTGTTGTACAGTGGGTTAAAGGTCCAACTTTTTGGTCGAAAATTCAAAAATTCCTTCTTAAATTTTTTCAGACATCCATGAACATTTAACCCTCCAACTGGCATTTTTTCAGAATCCGGGGCAAAAAGACTAGTTTTGGGGCGAGTTAACGAATTAAAATGTTCTTTGGAAAAATTTTGCTACTAAATACTAAATTTAGGTCGCTGACGAAAAAATATATTCGAGGTCGATTTATAAATAGAAATACATTTAAAAATATGTCTTGAACTTTCGACCTAAAAGCAGAAACTCTGTAAAAAATTGTGCTAAGATAGAATAAAATCGTTGAACTACAAGCGTTTCAGTAAAGTTTCATTGAGAGCGAAAAATGGTCGTATCACCGGGACCACAACCCTTTTAGTACTGAATATCAAATTTTTCATTAATTGCCACTAGCTTAAAAACTGCCACTAATAAAAAATAATTGATTGTGCAAAAGAGCATCAGTCCTTTCTAATCGGGCTGTATTATAATTGTATTATAGTAAGATTACAATAACAATTTTTATTGTTACTTATTACAATAAAGAAATTGCAACACAGGTACAACTGAATTAAAAAGATGTCCATTTGGTAATCAAAAAAAAAAAACTGAACAATAACAAACAACGTCAACATCATTACATACCCGTCTCTGCATGCGCCTGTCATGGCGAGCGCTTTATAGCGTGCCTGTTCATCCGTCGGCAGCACAATGTCAACGGATCGCGAGCGAGTTGCATTTATATTCGGTACGGTGAGGAAACAACCGTCCTCGCTGGGCTGCAGTTCCTCTGTCTTGCCGGCCGAAGACATTTTCGAGAAGCACGAATCCACGGAGGCGGCGCGATCGCGCTTCAAATCAGGTACAGTTAGATAAATATCACGTACGACCAGCGCATGTTTCGCTGCTGTCGGCGAACCACATGTAGCTACTGTGGACGCCTCATCCACCGAATCCACCGCCTCCACCGATGATTTCACATCCTCACCTTGTGACACATTTTCCAACGAATTGCCTGTTGGTTCCACAAAAATGGCTTCCTGACGCGAAATGGAACGCCGTCGCGGTCGCATGGTGGTCGGCGAAGGTGGCACCGCCGCGGCCGCATCATCCGCATCGGCTGCGCTTAAGCCGCTGCTAAAGCCTGGTGGTGGTGGCAGCGGCAAATCGAAAGTGGGCGGATGGGGTAACAGTTCTAGCGGCGATATGGGCGGTGGTGGCGGCAATTCCATCATTGGACTGTCGCAAACGGAGAGTGAAATGCATGGCGAGGGTGGTGGTGAACCGGGATCGATGGGAAAGGCATACGGAAATGGCGGACAATCGCCGTTCGTGGGCGATAGTGTGAATGTGATGCCGCATGGCGTTGTTGGCAATGGTGGCAGCAGCGTATTACCGAAGTGCGGCGAATCATGTTCGGATTCATCGAGGCCCTCATCTTCTGAAGTAGTGACTGAGCTGCCGATGGTGTGGCGACGCATTTGACGTGGCAGACGGGCACGAGACTCCTCAATGCTGCTGCCGGTGCTGAGTCCGCCCAGTCGGATGTCCATTTCCAAAGCTGCATCATCATATTCATACGAGCCACCACCTATATCGTTGCCATCGCCCGTGGCTGCGTCATCCTCCTCATCCTCTTCCTCACCTTCCTCTACCACATCATCGTCGGCTGGGACGCTCGCACCATCGTTATCGGTGTCATCGTCAGAACTGCTATAGCCGTAAGTGAGTGAACTCGACTCCCGCCGATCAGTGGCGATATAGCGCTGTTCCGCCTGCTGCTGTTTCAAGTATTCCTCCAGATACAAGCAGTGTATGCAAGGCGGTGGTGTCTTCGTAGACGAGCTACGACGCGCTTTGCCACGCCGCGGCACTTCCAGGAAAGTGCCCGAATCATCGCTGCCCGCTGAAGCCGCCGCCGAGTCGAATGAATGTGAGCGTTGTGTGTGCGTGGCCTGCGGCACCTGCAGCAGGCCGGTGTCCAGCGAACGTTCATCTGCCGATGACGATGATTGCTGCTTAAGTAGGTGGGACGAGACTCGCTGCGCCTCTAATTGCATTTCGTCGAACGAGGCGGAACGCACCTGCTGGCGGGCAAAAGGCGCAGATAATTACCAAGAACGTAGCGAAATGCGAGAGGGGGGAAAAAGAGTGAAGAGAAGAAATGTTGAGGTTATTAAATTTGCACGCATTGACGGCCGTGGTGCTGCTGTGGCACGTAATTTGCGATAATTTACGACGAAATTGCATGCAAACAGTACAACAAAAGTAGTGAACAACTTACACTCAGGTGCATGTTTCGGGTAAAATAGAACAAAAAAAAAATAAAAAAATCAAAACAGAAAAGCATTTTAAATACATTTTAAAATTTAGAACGGAAATGTTGCAAAAATTATACATTGAGGATAGCAGCGTCTGGGCATGCAATTAATTAGTCGCTGGTTGTGGCTGTGGGCTATGCTGCTGATACAGTGTTGTGTGTACATAGATAAAATCGAAAGGTGATATGTGAAAGTAAGTAATAAACTTAAATAGGCAACATGCAACGCTGGCAAGTGGAACGGATGTGGCCGAGGTTTGTTGCCCGCAATTACAATGTTGGATAATTTATGCAGGAAGCGGGCGAACTCTATGGGGTAAGGCTCTGAATTGAACGCAAACAGCAAAAGCACAAACATTTATGGCCTTTTTCAGAAAAAATAAAATAGATTTAAAAAGTGACTTTTTCGTAAAAATTTGTATTTATAAAGCAGCTAAAGTTTGGTTTAGTTTTTGAGAACTGAAATTATATAGTTTTGGTCATTTAAAACGTATACATAATTTTATGTTATTTAGGAAGTGGACATAAAATTTAAATAATTTAAAAACTGGACGTATGTACATATATTGTTGATTCTTAAAAGGTTGGACAAAAATTTGTGGTCTTTAAAAAGTAGACATAATTTTTGCTAATTATGGACCTTACATAAAACGCAGAAAATTAAAAAAATGGGAATGCTTTTCTATTAAAATTCTGAACATGTTTTTTTGGTAATTTAAAAAGTAGCCATACTTTTTTCGGGCTTATGAATCGGATAAATATTATAAATCTGCACCTAGTTTTTGTGATAATATGGTAGAAGAAATTTTAGATAATTTTTAAGCTCGACATAATTTTCCTTCATTTATTAACTAGACATAAATTTTCGCTTATTTAAAAAATATCCATGCTTTATTAGTAAAAGCAGGACACAAGCTTTTGATAATTTAATGACTAAGCTTTGGGTAATTTTAAAATTGGACATAATTTGTTGTCATTTAAAAACTGGGCATAATTTTTAGTAATCAAGAAACAGGCATTAAAATGCAGAAATGCAGAAAAGCAAAAACAAAAAACCAAAAAAATTTTGCTGGCTTGGACATACAAAGTATAAATATATATACTATAAGTATACATTTTTGAATAATTAATAAACTGGGCATAATTTTATGGTAATTTGAAAAGTTTAGGCACTTAATTTCTTTCCATAGAAGTTTCGATCGTTTAAAAGTTGAATATAAATTTGTGGCCGTTTACAAACTGGGCAAACATTTTAAGTATATTTAAACGTTTTGCCAAAAATTTATGAACAGTTTTTAAATTACTAAAACTTAATGTCCGGCTATTTTTCATAAGTTTATAATTATCAAAAAAATATTTCCAATTTTTAAATTATTAGAAAATATACCTATGCTGTATTAAAGCTTATGGTTGGCACACATCAACATACATATTTAAGCTCTAATAATGTGCGGCTGTCATAACTCTGAGGTTTCCTGTCCGAGGTGGGTGGCATTGCCCTCAATCATCAACATATTCATTCAATTCTTTGAAGTCTTAACTACTTAACATGGACATTTTTCAACCAAAGCACAAAGTCAGTTTTATTAATATTTACATATGTGCGTTAATAAGTGTGGACGGGTGTAGCTTTAAGCGGCTTAACGCTGAAAATGTGTCAAAAATGAGTGACAAGCGCCTTTCAGGCCCGCAAACAACTACTACTACTGTCCATGTGGTTTAACGACATAATTGTACTACGTAGGCATAAAATATTACTGAAATAACCAGAATAATTCCTGCACAAAAACATATGTACGTTGTTACATACAAAGCTTTTTGTTTT